GCTCTGAAAAGCGTCTAACAGAAGTAAGTGAGCCTATGAGAGAAGATTATGCAGGCAACAATTGTGCTTGACTTTGAGGTTACTTGTTACCAGTAAAAACAAGGAGACTTGCTTGTCAACTATTAAGAATGAGCCAAGCAAATATTTATTATCATCATCATGACAAACGGGAGACACTGAGTTTGTTTAGATGGGCTGATTTCCCAAATTTTCTGAGGGAGAACTTCTGCCAAGAGAGGGCTGATACCCCTAAAAATAACAAATCCTTGGTGACTTGGTCTTTTTTGAAGCTAGAGTTATAATAATAAGAAAAATAGGCCAACGTCAGTGACATGAAATCCCCGTAAAGTTAACTTTACTCTTTGCTGCTTCTTAAAACATTTAATTGAAAATCTATTTGAAGGCCTTTCAGATAAAATGATTACCTGAACACTAACTTCTTGCTTCACCTCTTGCATTCTGGTGGCAATGGCAAAATAATAGAGAAACCCAGAATTAACGCTGGCAACTAGGAAAAAATGCTGTAAATTTGCCATAAAATTTCAGGAATTTATGCTTGATATGGTGTAGATTGATGGGATCTCTAAAAGCCAAATTTGAAATTTTCCCTTTTGGTGAAGTAGGTTAGCATTGAGAATTATGGAAAATTCTGAGAGTACTCTTGGGAGAGAAAGGAACATTCCACTTGGACTCACTTGCACCTCTGAAATGTAAGGCATTTAAAAGGACCTGCATCCAAGGACCCATGAACCCCAGCTAACTACAGACCCAGAAGTCAGATGGGAAACTTATTTGACAGCTTTATGCTAATAAGATAATTTGAAAAGTAATGCAAGGCAATAAGCTAATAAAATAAATGGAGAAGAAATGAGAACCAGCCTAGAAACAGGTAGAAATAGAAAGGGAATTAGCTGGGTGAGCTAAGAAAGTTAAATATGCAATAACATAATTAAAATTTGCCTTATAAGCTACAAAGATTATAGTCTGAAGTCAATCTAATGAAGGCAATTTAAATTTCCATGGAAGGTCTGGTAGTTGGGGATTAAAAAAGATGAAGAACTAAAAGCAGAATTTGAAAACAGATTGTTGCTCATAAAAAATAAAAAAGACAAACAGTAGTCAAAGAAAAAGGAAGAACACTTTCTTGGCTAAAGATAGACTTGAATCTACACATTGATAAGTCTCCCCTGGAACAAGGGAAATATTAATGAAAAGAGACTAACATCAAGACATAATCTAATGAAATATTTGAATTTGGAAATCAGAGAAAAAAATTCTATAGCATTTGGTCAGAAGATAAACTATCAGCTTTAAAGAAAGTGAAACCAGGAGAACCTCCAAACTTAACACATTAAATATATGGAGATAATGGAAAAACATTTGTATTTTTAAGGGAAAATTTGTGGTCTATAATTTCTCTATCAGCTATATTGGTATTCTTTTGCATGAATAAATATATCTTTTTATAAAAACATTAGTGAAAATTGAAACAAAGTAAAGTGAAGTTTAAATAATTATAAAATATGTACAAAATGCAAAAGTCATGAGGATACTAAAAAATATGAAATACACTGAAAAATAACAATAATTAACTGGACCTAAAATGTCAGATAATATTATTGATAGCATAATGGGGATTTGGAAGAAGTAATATATGAAGGAATCATACAAGCATGAAAATAAATGACTACTAATTAAATATTGAAGGCAAAATTTAGAAGAAAAATTTAAAATGAGAAAATATGGCAATTTTAATAAGCACAAAATCAGAAATGAATAACCAGAAATCATAAAAATGAGAACATTATAAGGAAAAGAATTTGTTCGCTATATGAAAAAATATATAAAATCTTAACTAATTAAGTTGAAAAGCTCCTGACATAAGGAGCTTAAAACTAAAATGGATGAAAGACCTCAATGTGAGACAGGAATCCATCAAAATCCGAGAGGAGAACATAGGCAGTAACCTCTTCGACATCAGCCACAGCAACTTCTTTCAAGACACGTCTCCAAAGGCAAGGGAAACAAAGGCAAAAATGAACTTTTGGGACTTCATCAAGATAAAAAGCTTCTGCACAGCAAAGGAAACAGTCAACAAAACTAAGAGGCAACCCATGGAATGGGAGAAGATATTTGCAAATGACAGTACAGATAAAGGGCTGATATCCAAGATCTATAAAGAACTCAAACTCAACACTCCAAAAACAAATAACACAGTAAAAAAAAATGGGCAGAAAACATGAACAGACATTTCTCCAAAGAAGACATACCAATGGCTAACAGACACGTGAAACAATGCTCAACATCACTGGCCAGCAGGGAAATACAAGTCAAAAGCACCATGAGACATCACTCACACCAGTTAGAATGGCAACAATTAACAAAATAGGAAACAACAAATGTTGGCAAGGATGTGGAGAAAGGGGAACCCTCTTACGCTGTTGGTGGGAATGCAAGCTGGTACAGCCACTTTGGAAAACAGTATGGAGGTTCCTTGAGAAGTTAAAAATAGAGCTACTCTACGACCCAGCCATAGCTCTACTAGGTATTTCCCCACAGATACAGATGTAGTGAAAAGAAGGGGCACATGCACCCCGATGTTCATAACTGCAGTGTCTACAATAGCCAAACTGGAAGGATCCAAGGTGCCCTTCAACAGAAGAATGGATAAAGAAGATGTGGTACATATATACAATGGAATATTATCCAGCCTTCCGAAAGGATGAATACCCAGCATTTCCATCGACACGGATGGAACTGGAGGGGATTAAGCTAAGTGAAGTAAGTCAAGCAGAGAAAGACAATTATCATATGGTTTCACTCATATGTGGAACATAAGCAATAGCACGGAGGACCATCTGGGGGAAGGAAATCTGAAGGGGAGATGAACCATGAGAGACTGTGGACCCCGGGAAACAAACTGAGGGTTTCAAACGGGAGGGGGTGAGGGGGATGGGGTAACAAGGTGATGGGTACTTAGGAGGGCACGTGTTGTGCTGAGAACTGGGTGTTATACGCAACTAATGAATCACTGAACACTACATCAAAAACTAATGATCTATACAGTGGCTAACTGAACATAATAAAAACAGTTTTGGTCAAAAGTAAAAAAAAATAAAATAAAAGATAATAGCCATAAGATCACAACCATTTTATAATTTTGATTGCAAACTATTTACTGAGTACCTGTTTTGTGCCAAGCACTATTCTAGAAATAAAAGATATGTCAATGTTCTACATGTAGCAGAAAGGGGAGAGATAATAAGCTATAACCATAATAAATAAGTAAATTATATGAGGAAAATACTAAAAGTAAAGTAGGGGAAAGGTGATTGGAATTAGGGACTGCAGCTATCAGTTGGATAGTTTGGTCTGAAAGCTCTCAGTAAGAAAGTGGTATTTGGACAAACACTTGAAGAAGATGAAAAATTTCATCACTGATATTTTAAGGAAGAGTGATCCAGGCAGGGGAAAGAGCTAGTGCCACATCATTTCCTCCTGGATACACAGCTAGATTCTTCTTCCCTATAGTCTGGGAGGGGATGTAAAATGAACTCTTGCCAGTAGAATGTGGGCAGAAGTGACTGATGCCTCTTGTAAAGGCGACCCCTAACCCCTGCAGTCCAATTTCTGACTAGCTCTCTCTTACTTCCTTTTTCTATTTGTCTGTCTCCTCTTTCTCTGTTTTCTCTCTGTCTGTCTTCTCTCTCTCTCATTGTTTGTCATTTCGATGGAGGAGATCAGGCAGAGCACTCTAAGTTGGCCTTAGGGAACAGCAGAACCATAGGTGAAAGGAATGTAGGGAGTTTAGATTCCTGAGTCTGCCTTGGGAGGGGAGATATGTAGGAGCCACTCATCCTGCATCACACGGTGACATTGTGTTGAGCCATCACAGTTTCTTTGTTGTTGTTACTGTTGTTCTGTTTTGTGTAAGCAGGAAACAACCGTTACTTATACTGACTGATGCAGAAGCAATTATGAGGACTTTGCCTTTTCATTTGAGTGAAATGGGGAGACAGGGTTTTGAGTAGAGGAATGATTTGACCTTACATTTTAAGAGTTTCTCTCTGGCTGCTCTGTTGGTAGTATCCTGTAGAGAGGTGTGAGAGTAGAAACAGGGAGATCAGGTAAGAGGCTCAAACCATAACTCTAACAAAAAACAACGATGGCTTGGAACCCTCAACCAGCAGTGGGGATGATGAAAAATTGTAGCCTCCAGATAGATTTTGAAGGTAGAGCCAGCAGAATGTATTTTCGTATTAGATATGGGAGTAAAATAAAGAATGATGCCAAGGTTTTTTACCCGAGCAACTGGGAAGATAGAGTATCCATCACTGAGATGGGGAAAGTGGTGGGTGGAGGAGGTTTGGTGGAAAGATGAATTTAGTTTTGGATATGTTGAGTTTCAGGTGTTGAGTAAGCAGTTGGATATGAGCCCAGTTTCAAAGTGTTTTGATAAACTAAAAGTGTTAAATCATGTAATTCAATTGTATTATTTATTTTAATCACAGAAACTTTAAAAAATATGTGCCACTGATGAAACACTGAATTCTATTCTGAAACTAATAATACAATATATGTTAATTAAGTTGCATTTAAATAGAAAATTTGAAAGATACTCTATATGGCAAACTGCAACTATCAAACAGTGTCTGGATAATATTGGATATTTCTATTAATCAAATGTGATCCTGGAGAATGATATTCCATTTTAGTTTGCATTTCTTCAGTTACTGTTAAAAATGGGATTTTTCATGTTAAGTGCCCATCTATGTTTCTATTACAAATTACTTATTTATATATTTTTCTTTGAGGTATATGTGTGTTTGTGTGTATATTCATATATATGTATATATACAGATTTATAAATCCCTTAGTGTGATATTTGATCATTTGTCTCTGATGTATTTTGCCTATGTATTATCGTAAAAGCTCAGCAATTTGACCCCCAAATCTCAAATAAAAAACCTAATCTTTTGTCTGTCTCTCTTTTAATACAGAAGATGAGAAAAGAAGAAAATAATACTTTTCAGCTTCATTTACTTCTCTAATTTGAATCTTTATAAAGGTATGTTTCCCCCTTACACTATTTCAAGCAATTGCCTCCCGTTTTTCAAGATAATCTTTCTATTTTGACATCAACTTCTGTATAATGCAAAGATTGGGATCAGTGGAAACTGAGGTCTGTAGAGTTACTATGGTCGTGGATAGGTTCAATGAATGATCTGAGATTTTGTTGGATAGCACGTATCATCAATAGGTGACTATGAGGGGACTATGGGAATCTTCCAAGAATGTTCCAAAAACTGTGACCCCAGGATGACTCCGAGGTCAGTCCTGGAGAGCACTATCAGTAATCAGGAGACTGGAATGTGAACTGGCAGGAGAGAAGACTCAAAGAACTTTTTATAAATATTTTTACAACAAGAGAAACAAGAAACATCATGAGAAAAGTAGAGAAAAAAAGAATTTTTATAAACACCGTTTTTTGGGCGCCTGGGTGGCTCAGTCGTTAAGCTTCTGCCTTCCGCTCAGGTCATGATCCCAGGATCCTGGGATCGAGCCCCACATCGGGCTCTCTGCTCCTTGGGAAGCCTGCCTCTCCCTCTCCCACTCCCCCTGCTTGTGTTCCCTCTCTTGCTGTGTCTCTCTCTGTCAAATAAATAAATAAAATCTTAAAATAAATAAATAAATAAACACCTTTTTTTTTTTTTTTTTTGCCTGACCAGTTTTATTGTGACATCCTTCTCTAGCTGTTGCCTCATTGTGAAGTCAGTACTTGGTAGCTGCTAGATAAAATGTTTTTGTCTCTAACTTCCAATCAGAAGAGATTTCTGAAATCCAGCATATTTCCTCTGTGACTTATACCCTCCCCCTGTCCTTGAACAACTCAACTCTCCTCCCCTCCCCTCCTCTTCCCTTCCCTCCTCTCCCCTTCCCTTCCCTCCCCCGTCTCCATAAAGGGGCATATCTATTTTAATTTTCATAATGGCTTTGTAACATCTCTTTTCTCTTAGTTTTATACTTCGTTTATTTCTGATCCTATTGTCATTTCCTTTTTATTGTTGTTTTCTTTAGTTTTATTCTGTTCTTTTATCTAATTCCTTGAGTTGTATAATTAATGCATTAGTTATCAGCTTTTTCTTCTTTTATAACATAAACATTTAGGCTCTACATTTCTCTCTGAATTCTCTTCATTTGTATTTAACAAATTTTACATGTTGTATTTGCATTATGTGTCAGTTTTAGATATAGGATTACTTTCGTTATAATTTCTTCATTGGTTCATGGGTTAAGATGTGTTTTAAAAATTCTTAAATGAAATTATAAAACATTTTATTTTATCAACAATGATTTCTAACTTAATTACATTCTGATCAGAGGATGAGTTCTGCACTAAACCAATTCTTTGAAATTTACTGAAAACTGATCATGTAATTGATTTATTACATGATCTGTTTTCTGTGTTTAATTTAGTAGAATGTATAGTCCTTAATTTCTGTTTTAAAGTTCTATATAATCTCATTAGATCAAGCTTGTTAATTGTGCTGTTCAAATGTTCCTTTTTTTTTTTTTCTGGTTTGATTTATCTATCAGTTACTAAGAGATATGTTAAAAGCTCCCCCTACATTGGTTATTTTTCCATTTCTCTTTCTGGCACTCTCACTTTTTTTTTTTTTTTTTTTTTTTTTGCCTTATCTACTTGGTGACTTTATTAAGTGCATAGAATTTTAGAACTATTTTAGCTTCCTTGTTTTTTTCTGTTTTTGTTTTTTTTTTTAAAGATTTTATTTATTTATTTGACAGAGAGAGAGAGAGACAGCGAGAGAGGGAACACAAGCAGGGGGAGTGGGAAAGGGAGAAGCAGGCTTCCTGCCGAGCCAGGAGCCTGATGCGGGACTCGATCCAGGGACTCCAGGATCATGACCCGAGCCGAAGGTAGTCGCTTAACCAACTGAGCCACCCAGGCGCCCCAACTTCCTTGTTAATTAAAACATTTATTATATGGTAAATCTATTTAATCACATTTTTAGCTTTAACTTTGTTAATAATAGAACATTGGCAGCTTTCTTTGGCAAATATTTGCATAACTTATTTTGTTCTTTTACCTTCAATCCTTTTGGTTCATTAAATTTCAGAGGGTCTCCTAGAAATAGTATGTTGCATGATTTTTAAATCTAATCAATATGGTATTTTTCTTAGTTTTTATTTATTAATCAGTCTATTTAGATGTATTGTAATTATTGATATACTTGAATTTATTTCTACTGCTTTGTATTTTTTCCATCTTTCTTTTTTCTGTTTTTTTTTTTTAATTAAATTTTTTCCCCTTCATCCTTTTCTCTTTCTGTTTAGGAGTTGATTTATTTGCTCTGTATTTTTTTAATTAGTATCCTAGAAATTATAACATGCAACGTAAACTTAAGGAATTCTAAAATGATTCAACATCTTTGTTCTTCTTCTGAGACTGCTTTAACTGCCTTGAGCTTCTTTCTGGCTCATAGGCATTTCTTTTCTAGTGTTAGTGCAATCTTACTATTTTTTTAATCGTTATAGGCAAGACTTATTCAGATGCCAGTTTCTCTGCTCATTCCTCCCTATATCTCAAGCCTTCCTCTTAGAATCTTTTCCTTGCCTCTTAAATCACGTGTAAGAATTTTTTTTTTCATGAAACTCTATTTCTATATGCAAGTCTTTATTTTTTTCATTGTTCTTGAAAGATAGTTTTGTTGAGAAACATTTTTTTCACTAAGATACTGAGAGACATTTCTCTTTGAATTTGAAGATGTTAACTATCTTATTATTTCCTGTGCTGGTCTTGAGCATTTCAGCTGAGTTTAGTTAGTGTTCTTTGTAAGTGATCTTTAATTTCTTTCTGCTATTAATTTCTCCTTATTTTTTTCACAATGTTTCTAATGGTGGATTTTCTTTGTTGTTGTTGTTTTTTCTTTTTAGTTTTGTCTGAAATTTATTCAGTCTCCCAAATCTGAGAAATTTTAGAAATTCTATTTCTCTTAATTCCCAGCAGAAAAAGAAAAACATATTTATGGTGCATTTTATAGTTGTTTATGTTGCATTATCTAGTGTAGTCCTGTCACAAGATAACTTCTATTTTGACTGTATATCACTGAGAAATAAATTCTCTACCTATAATTTTATACATCATAATTGGAAGAATTTCCCTGGACAAGTTCTGTCTCTGGTCATTTTACCTTGTTTCTTTTCCACTACCCAAATATTTCCAGTGGCACCACTGTGGGATACACTTATATTGCCATGTGCCCTCTGGCTCTATACCTTTATGTCATGAAGCTGAGGAATCAACACTGTGAGCGGTAGAATTATTCTTAGAAGCCAGTCCTACTCCGGAATGGGAGCAAGAACTTAACTATACACAAGAGTGATTGTTAACCAAATAAATATATCCCACTAGAGTCAAACTAAATGAATAACTAATTCACTTTCAGTTTAGATAGATCCCTTGAATGCCTATTACCTCTCTAAAGGCAGCCAATAAAAGGGGAAGTGTTACAGAAGGGAATTTGGACAAGACTGAGCCATCAGTCTTAAACAATTGCAGTTCACTGTTTTTCTTTCAGACATTTTACAAAAACATATGATCATGTGAACACATTGCTCAGATTTCCTTGGGACCTTGAAATGGGCTTATGCAAGCAAGGAGCCTGAAATGTACTCATCTGCGGCTTCACTGTAAATCTACCTCTGTCCAATCACTACCCTCTTCAAAGGTATATCCTCCCTGAAGGTAACCATTATTCTGAATTTGTCTTGACTTTATATAAAGGGAATTATACAGTGTATATATATTTTTGTTTTTGGCTTCTCACTGGACATTATTTTGGTGAGATTCACCTTTATTGCTGCATATAGCTATTATTTGTTAATTTTCTGTATAGCATGACATCATGTGAACAAACCACATTCTTCCACTGATGTAAATTTGTGTTATTTTTAGTTTAAAAATATTACAAATAATGCCACTATCAATATTTCCATTGTGTCTCTCAGTGCGTGTGCAGGCATTTCTTTTTAGTTCACACTTAGTTGTAGAATCCATAGATTCTAAGCCTCTTCAATTTTAGTAGATAATGCCAAACTCTTTTCCAAAGTATTATATCAACCTCGCTTCCACAATCGGTGGAATGAGAATTTCTGTAGTCAACACTAGTCATTACAGTTAGGTGGGTAGTGAAATAGCCTTCAAGTTATAATTTTCATTCCACGTGACTTTCATGTGTTTACTAGCCATTTGAATGTCACCTTTGGCAAAGTCTGTTGAGCTCTCTTGGTCATCTTTCTATTGAGTTGTTGACCTGTCTCCTGTTGATTTGAAGAGGTATTCATAGTTTTCAGATAGATGATATTTGTAAGTAATATAAGTTGTAAATATTTTTTTAAAGATTTTATTTATTTGAGAGACAGAGACAGAGAGCATGAGCAGGGGGAAGGACAGAGGGAGAGGGAGAAGCAGATGCTTCACTGAGCAGGGAGCCTGATACAGGGCTGATCCCAGGACCCTGGGATCGTGACTTAAGCTGAAGGCAGACACTTAACCGACTGAGCCACTCAGGTGCCTCGGTTGCAAATATTTTCTCCCATGTGCTGAGTTTGTAATTTTAATAACTATGTGTTTTTATATTTCTAGACAAAATGGTCAGTTCTTTCCAAATATACTTGACCCATTTTTGGTAGACTTAATTTCTTTATATTTTTAATTTATTCTCTTTATTTATTTAAACATTGAAAAATATTAATATTTTATATTCAGGACTTCAATATTTGAAATGTTGTGAGTTCAAATCTACTTTTATTTATTTATTTTTCCCTTTTGCAGATTCTCTCCCATGGTTTCTTCATGTATTTGGGATGGGTGGGGTAGAGGCAAGAGAGGAGTGAGATCTTGTTTGAGATTGTCCTTAGCTAGTGAGAATTGATTTTTTTTTTTTCCCTGCCATATGCCTATGTGTTCTAACAATTTAGGCTATGTTGAATTCATTTCTTATAACTTGTGTGATACAATGGAATTTGTACTTAATTTGCTAAACAAAGGGAGACACTGAGAAGTTTAAATGTGAGAATAACATCGTTAGATTTCTGATATTAAAAAGAGAGAGAGAGCAATTTGGGTAAATAGTTTGAAGTTGGGGATAAATAGTTTGAAGCTGGGGATCAGTTAGGATGTTATTGCAGTCATACTGGTGAGGGGTAGAATAGATAGGTACAATAATGGTGGTGGTAAGAAAGGATACAGTGACTCAGAGATTATCTGTATTTAACATCAGTATAAATGGAAATGAAAATAATAAAAAATACCATTGGGTCAAAACCCACATCTTTGTAAAGAGGCATTTTTCATTCATTGTTGATGGCAATATAAATCAGTCAGATGTCTAGGTAGGGAATATGGTAATATATACCAGAAGCTATAAAAGAAAAAGTACAACAGTATACTTTGCTCCAGCAATTCCACCTTTGATAATAACTAAGGAACTATTTAGACAAGCATGCAAAACTATATGAACAAAAGCTTTTACTGTATCTTTGTTTCTGAGGTAGCAAATTAGAACAAATCTATACATTTATTCTGTAAAATCAAATGGAACCACCAAAAATGAAGATATAAATCTGCCTATTTGAACTTGGAAAAATTCATAGTCTAGGTAATAAAGTAAGTCACAGAATAGTATTGGAAAATATTATACCATTAAAAATAGTAATATGCATATCTAGAACATATTTGAAAAAATAGGTAATTTAACAATGCTTATATCAGCATTTTTTTTCTATTGCCTTATATTTTGAGAATGCACATCGATTACCACATTTTGGAGAAGTGATAATGCCATTAATAGGTACTTCAAAGAAGCCAGTATGGGCTACTGGTTTAGGGGGAATCTGATGAACTTAGATACTGTGCGAGGCTTGGTTGAAAATACAATTGGATATATCTGAATCTCAGTTTGAAAGATCTGACTATAGAGAATTTAAAATAAAATGGCTGATGACAGAGTTTTAAAGAATATAAGATTAAGTGGCTGATGACAGAATATTTTCCAATATGTCTCCAGGAACTTTTGTACTATATTTTATTATTTATTTATTTTTGTTTACAGATTTTATTTATTTATTTGTCAGCGAGGGCACGTGAGAGCACAAGCAGGGGGAACGGTAGGCAGAGGGAGAAGCAGGCTCCCTGCTGAGCAGGGAGCACCATGTGGGACTCCATCCCAGGACCCTGGGATCATGACCTGAGCCGAAGACAGACGCTTAATTGACTGAGCCACCCAGGTGTCCTTGTACTGTATTTTAAATGCTTAGTTAAAAGAATGATATAAGCCCCTATTATGGCAGTATTTATCAGCCTCTTTCCTTTATGGGGCTTAACTTACTCTTCCCCCACCCCTCACACTATTACATTTAATTATATTTATCAGATATTAGAAATCCCATATAGATTGGGTGGGCTATACATTTTAAAAAATATATATTGTATAATTAAGTAATGATTCTATTGGTTACTATCTATGAGCAAGGCACCTAAGAGGGTGCTTTAATTCTACAGTTCAATAAAAATCCTGTCACTACCGTTTCCCTAGCATATCACTTTTCAAGGTAAACTTTGAATAAAAAATTCTTTGATCATTATTTTGCCAATTTGGAGTTTAGATTTTTTTTTAAACTCCCAACATTTATTTGTTCGTTTTTTCTTTTTTTAAAGAACAGAAGTCTTATTTATCATAATACGAAGATCCACCTAATCTATTTATGGATCCTGTAAGAATTTGGTAAATCCTATTAACAGATGTTTCAATTTCACAGGTAGGTTATTGTTCACAAATCTAAACCAACCAAAAGTGAAATAAAAAAAAAATGTGTATTTCTAGGGGCGCCTGGGTGGCTCAGTCAGTTAAGTGTCTAACTCTTGATTTTGGCTCGGGTCATGATCTCAGGGTCATGAGATGGAGCCCTGTGTAGGATCCATGCTGGGGATGGAGCCTGCTTAAGGTTCTCTCTCTCCCGTTCTCCCTCTAAATAAATAAATAAATAAATAAATAAATAAATAAATAAATAGGTATTTCTAAAACTATTAGAATTTATCTCTGCAATGTAGTTAAAATGCATCCGGATAATCTTCTCCATTCTCCTACTAGTAATGAAGAAAGGCAGGCAGGGGCAAGGGGCTCAGTCCTAAGAGGAAACTATCCTTAAAAGGAAAAAGACACCATCCTGTTATTCTACACCACCCTGAAAGGAGCCCTCCACCCTTCCCCCACGTGAACAACTCCCTGATAGGTAGATGCGTGCTGGGACAAAAACCTGATTGGGTGACAGGTACATGGAGGCTTCATCAGATTAAAACAGCCGACCAACAATCTCATAAAAACCCCTAGATTTAGAAACTCTGAGGGCAACTTTCTCGGGGCCCCTCCCTCCTTGGGAGCTTTGTATTATCACCCAATAAACTTTGCTTTGCTGCCCACCACTCTTCCTCTGGTCTACCTCTTCGTTCTTCCAAGCGGCGTGACCAAGAACTGTGGGCACTAAAGGAAAACAAATCCTGAAACACTAGTTCAAGCACTAACTTTTTCCCCCTGAATTACTGCCTCACCTGGTCTTCCTCCTGTCAGTGTCTCCTTATTTCAATCTCTGTCACATTACCACTACGGGCAGGTGGTTATGTAAAGTCTCAGCTAAAAAAAATCTTCCCTGCCCCAACTCCTGAAAGGCTAGACAGTTTTGCATGGAACGCAAGATGATCTACATTTTGACCCCATCCCATCTTCCTGACTTCACTTCCCTATATGTTTCAAATCATGCACTACAATTTAGGTACTCAAAGTTCCTGGTGGGTATGAAGTGAATTCTCTTGCCTTCTGCATATCGTGCAAGTGCTGGGAATTTCTTCCCCACACCCTCTCAACCTTCTCAAACTCTTACTGATAGGCAGGAAAACTAGTCTGCAAAATCTGTTATGTCTATTCATTTATCTAATGGCAAATCATTTATCTAACAGTTAAGTAGATTTCCTGATTCTCCTCCCAATTCTGGCTGAAGCACAAGGTTGAAATGAGTGACCCTTTCAGCTAAAGGAAGAATAAAGTCTTCCTTGAGGACTCAGATCAAATATCACTGAAATCGTCACAAGCTCTCTTTTATCCCGTGGCCCCATGCATATTTATGTTTTTACCCATGTATTTTCCTCCCAGTCATGTCAACACCCATGATGGATTGGGAACATTATTTGATTGTACTGGTCACAAATTCCATCCCTGCCTCATTGGTCTGGAGAAGAATCCTGTGCATTTTAGTAACAATTCAGATGAATGAAATAATTTTTAAAGTGTAGTTAGTAAAGAAAAAGACTTTTGAGTTCTGGGAGGAGGCAGAGATGAAGATTTTAAGTAAGGAAACAGAAAATAGCACCTACCTCTCTTTTTATTCTCTGGCTTCCTGAGACTAGGAAAAATTATTAATGAGACATTTGATCTCCAACAGTTATTAGTGTGGTATTAGTTTTAGTAATTTAACACATGCATAAAATACTACTCAGAAAGTGTTCCTCTCGAAATTCAACCCCCACACCCCTCTCAAAAAAACCCACAAAAAACAAAAAACAAAAAAACCCAACAAAAACAAAAAAACCCCAGAAAACCCAGAATGGAATGGAAAAATTTGAATGTCTAGAGAAAAGTTTAAATGTATCCACTTCCTCATATTGGCCATGACCTTGCAGTCTTAGGTTGCACCCAGGGTCATTGCCCTTCATTAGTCCATGGAGAATAATTGAGCCCAACGCCTGGGAGTTTTCTAAGTGGGGGAAAAAAAAATAGATATTTTGTATTTGTAAGATGCTTAATTTTTAAATAGATTATTTCTAAATCTGTGGGAAATGTTCTGTTTCAAATTTCAGTTGGAGCAAGATGAATTAAAAAAAGATGCTCTTTCTTGGGTGCCTTAATAAATTGCTTCTAAAACTTAATTCTTTTGGATACTTTGTTACATAATAGTTTCTTACTACTCAATGCTTTTAACAGTAATAATGTTCTGGGTAAAATGTTTTCATTGTTTGTATTTATCACAATTCCTTTTGAATTAGGCATTAAAGTAACTAGAGTAAGGCCCAGATAGAGATTTGCTTGTGTCCTTTGGTGTTCCTTTTGGGAAAAAAAAAAAAAAAAAAAAAAAAAAGTCCCCCTCATGAGATGACAAGGATTTTTATCTTAAATACTGTTTATTTCAGTTTGTGTACTTTTAAAACCTCTGTCATGGTATCTTTTGACAGAACAGTCAATGCTCAAGTTTGGCTGCTATCTGGTTAGGAAATGAGACTGTATCATTCTCTGCTGTCACGGGCTTCCTGACCGGTTCTGAATTATTCCTTGGTTTATAAGCTCCCTCTGCCATCAAAATCTGTTTGGCTTTTCTAATCTAATAGGCACTAGCCTTCGTGGCTCTTGAAAAACCTGACCCAGCCCGAGCCCCCAGCTCTGACTGCCCTCCTCCTCAGGGGGGCTCCTTTCCCCTTATCTCCTTGGAATTCAACCTCTTTCTCTGAACAAATGAGTCACATTTATCTAAACCTTACCTTTCAACTCTTCCCCCCACCCCTTCTTTTTCTGCTTATGTTTGGGGCCTCTGGAAATCTGAGCCTGGGGAAAAGAAAAACAAATATGCTGAACTTTTCCTAAGAATACCTCAGCCCTTACCCTTTCTGTGCCTCTGCAGCAAACACAAAGCCTCCATATCCATTTCACACAGATCCTGCTCCCCGGAGCTCTTTTATTCCAAAGTAAAGTGAAGAGTTTATAGTCATCTGGTGAATTCCAACATAGTAATTCAATTGTTAAATAGAAATCTGACTGCTTCGTATCTTGGCTGGGCTTATCTTATCGATCAATATTGTTAATTACATTAGTAACAATGATCGTCTATCAGCTGATCCCTTTTTTTTATTGCCTAGCGCTGAGCTAAGTCGTTTACAGAGTAGTTCTATAAAAAACCTAGATTTATCAAATAATAATCACCTCTTCATTTAGACGATACTGTGTTTTATGAATTATGCTGCAGACAGTCAATAAAACATGTTTAAGATCGGGGCCCTTGGATCAGAGACCTGGGTTCAATTCTGTGTCTGCCAAGTGGTACGTGTATGACCTTGCTTAAGCTATTTAACACTGTTTGATCCAACAAATATTTTTGAAAGTATACATGCCATTGTTTATTTTTAAATTAACTTAAAATTTAAAGTTGTTTGTTGAATGTGTAAGTTTCAGAACTTAAGTTACATCATTAATTCAAAGAAATGATAATATCTAATTCATAGAGATATTGTGGAGATTAAATAAGATTATATATGCAAAACACATAGCTTAGTGCTTGGCACACGGCAGTAGTCAATAAATTGTAGTCACCTCCCCCTACCCCAGCAGTTGTCAATCTGCTAAATTGTCAGGAACCTGCCAGAATCTCATTCTTCGTGTATCACAGTATTTTATCAAAATATCTAGCATTAAATTGCCTAGGATAGGAAAAATGTAAAGTTATAATAAAATGAAAAAAATAATTCAGATATATATTCAATCATTCGTAAAGCAATGTCTAAATGTTTATACTTTTCCATTTTATTTTTTATTTTTCAGATAAAATCATTATTTTATCCGATGAAATAAGTGGTTAGTCCTGCGTCTGATTCTCTCCTTTCAGGTAAAATTTAAAAGGCAAAGGCATTCAAGATGTTGCATAGCTACTGGCTAGTCCCTCAGAGTGTTGACATTTTCAGAACACAGTAGAAGAAAGGCATTATTAGCTTAGAAAATTTTGAGAAAAGTAGCCTGAGAGAGTACAATACATGCTGATTTATAATGATATCAGGCAGCCCTAATCTGTCAAAGAACAAAGATAAGGAAGCAGTTCTATTATTTTTGACATCCTACATGTAATTATTAAGATTAGGTCCAAATCTTTAGCACTGAGTTCAAATTTCCAGCCTGCTTTCGTATTTTTCTGTATTTTTCCATGCAGCACACCCAGGCGGGACCCTTTGCTCCTCTGCGAACATACTATACAAGTTGATGCTTTTGAAACTTTGCTTATGTGAGGCATTGGGTTAAGATTGCCACCTCTTTTCTTACCCTCCCCCCCCCCCCGCATTGTCCTCCATCAACAGTCCACTCACCTTTCAAATCTTAAGTAGGATTGCAACCTCTGCTTTTCCATTTCTCCTCAGCAATCCTGATCTTCATGTTTCCACAGCAGTTCTGTCAGCATCTCTAGCATAGCATTTGAGTCTCTCTTTTCCTATGATTTTTTATTTTTATTTTTTAAAGATTTTAGATTATTTATTAGAGAGACACAGAGAGAACACAAACAGGGGGAGGGGCAGAGAGAGAAGCAGACTCCCTGCTGAGCAAGGAGCCCCATGCAGGGCTCGATCCCAGGACCCCGGGATTATGACCTCAGCCGAAGGCAGACGCTTAACCGGCTGAGCCACCCAGGCGTTCCCCTTATGCTGTTTTAAAAATAGAAAATCTGAGTAGATTATCACTTTGAAAGAAATTAAATCATTAATTAATCTCTCCACAAAGAAAATATCAGATCTAGGCAATTTTATGACTGAGTTCTATAAACGTTTAAAGGAATGGATCATTTCAGTCATATAACATTTTCAGACAAAGGAAAACCAGGGGAATGCTCCACTACTCGTTGTATAAATAACCTTGATATCAAGATTAGATATAGGAAACAAAGAAAAGTTAATTATGGACCAATCTATTCCTGAACATATACGCAAAAAAATCCTAAGCAAAATATTGGCAAACTGAATTCAGATGATATGCAAAAAATATAAACTGAAATTCTTACATTCCAGAAATTCAATTTACCTTGACATTAGAAAGTCTGTTAATGAACTTGCCCCATTACCAGATTAAGGAAGGGAAAAATCTAGATGCTTTTCTCAATAGAAGTACATAAATTATTTGATAAGATTCAAAATCCATTGATGATTTAAAAAAAAAAAAGACCTTAGCAAATTGGGAATAGAAGATTGTATATACTGACAGCCTAGAGCAAATATTGTGCTTAATGGAAAATGTTAGACACATTGGTTTTTCAATCAGGAATAAGAGGAATGCCCAGTGTCACTGTTTATATTCAACATTGTGTAAGATCTCTAGGTTGTAAATGTACTTGTACATGATAATTCCCACTTGGAGGACCACATGACCTTGCCAAGATCTGGTACCTGAGGTGTTCCAAGGGCGACAAACCAGACAAGCCCGATGGCGTTGTATTGAGTATCTTTTCCTACCTCAGTTTCCCCATGGGTATCAAATGTCTAGCACTGTGCTGTGCCCTATGGCAGCTCTCATGTACATGTGGCTGTTCAGCACTTGAAATGTGGCTAGTCTGCACGGAAATGCACTGTAAGTGTAAAATAAAACACTATATTTCAAAGACAATGTAAAAAATGCAAAATATCTTACTAGTAATTTTTGGATAACATGAAGTGCTAACATGTTGGATATATTATTACAATTAATTTTATTAGTTTCACTGTACCTTTTAAAATTGTAGCCACTAGATGGGGCGCCCGGGTGGCTCAGTCGTTAGGCGTCTGCCTTCGGCTCAGGTCATGATCCCAGGGTCCTGGGATCGAGCCCCGCGTCAGGCTCCCTGCTCCGTGGGAAGCCTGCTTCTCCCTCTCCCACTCCCCCTGCTTGTGTTCCTGTTCTCGCTAACTCTCTCTCTCTGTCAAATAAATAAATAAAATCTTTAAAAAAATAAAATAAAATTGTAGCTACTAGAAAATTTGAAATTACGTATGCAGGTCACTGAGTTGCATTATATTCCTAGTGGACAGCTCTGGTCTAGAATAAATCCACATTGAACGAGGGTAGAGGTGGAGATTGCAGAAATGCTGGCAGGATGGAGGAAAAGCCCAGCTCTCCCTCTGTACTAGGCAGCAGGCATCACACCTGGGAGGCCCCAGCTCTACAAGGAGAAGACAGAGCTGGAGACACAGGAGTTGTCCAACGGAGGATTTCTGGTTCCCACTGGGGTTGCTGAATTGGTACCACCATGGTTGCCTCAGATTTCAGCCAGGGGGGGACTGTAATGGGGCCATGATTGTCATCTCTGGTGACTGCCATCAGCATCTTACGTTTGGTGTTGGACCTTAGGCTGGAGCAATAATGTCCTGCTATTAATAACTTCCTGTCTCTCTCATTAGACTATACGATTCTTGAAGAGGTCTTCTATCTTACCATCCCTCTGTTCCACACTATGTAAACACACAGTATTTCAGGCATAAAATACACTCCAAACTTACTTGGAGTGTATTTTATCAAATACACTATTTTATCAAAGTCAAATTATTTCTTAGTTCAAAAACTTTCCATGGGGCCAATATTCTTTTTTTTTTTTTTTTTTTTTTTTAAGATTTTATTTATTTGAGAGAGAGCACATGAGAGGGGGGAGGGTCAGAGGGAGAAGCAGACTCCCTGCCGAGCAGGGAGCCCGATGCGGGACTCGATCCCGGGACTCCAGGATCATGACCTGAGCCGAAGGCAGTCGCTTAACCAACTGAGCCACCCAGGCGCCCGCATGGGGCCAATATTCTTAATCTTCTCCTTTGCTACTATGCTTCTCAAGATGATAAGCAAGGATGTTTTCTTTAGGTCCCCAGCACTTCCCAGAAGGCATAGAATCCCTTCACAGGTCCATGGTGTTCTTAATGTATGTTGCAGAGCCTACTGTTAGTATCATTGTTATTTGTGTATACTGAATTCATTTTTTTAAACTGATTTTTACGGTTCTAATTAAGGCGGCTTTGTACATATGATCTATGAAATTCCAAAATAATAATAATAATAATAATAATAATAATAATAATAATAATAATAGAGGCATTTGAATGTCTCAGTTACTGAATAGATAGTAAAATAATTTTATTTTTTTGCAACTGTTTTTTTTTTCCTTGACTCTTCTTGTGCTCATACTGCTAACAAATGGATTCAGGTATTCATTGGTATTCTTGAACATGTACTGTGTAAGGAAAGCTCCCAGTTAGGGCTGAGAGATACACAAGCCATATTCTCTATCTTTAAGCTATTTACTCTCTCACAAGAGAGTTAAACACACCAATAACTTCAGCACAAACTGTGTGTGAAAATTGTGATAGGAGCTGTCAGAATTCAAGACTGTCGGATTGGGAAAGAGGGATCTCTTCTACTTGGGGAGATCAAAAGCAAATATCATCGTTGAGATGATGTCTGGACTGAGTCTTAGATGGTGTGTGGAATTTGGAAAAGGGGGGAGGATATTATCTCTAGGCAGAGGGAAAGGCATGACAAATGGTAGAGTCTTGTAAAAAATGAACTGTACGAGCTGAGCAATAATTTTGAGGGTTTTTTCCCTCCAGAAGTAAAAGTAGTGTTTGTTTTATGTGATAGGCAATAGGAAAGTACTGAAAAAAATGTGATGTTGTATGAGGTGATCAAAGCAGTACTTTAGTAAGATAATGTAAACTTGTTGTGTAAGGTGACTTAAGGAAGGTTAAGAAGGTATTACACTTCAGAAGAGTGCTAGTAGGACGATGAAATAAGCAATGTGAAAACTGCTTCCCAGACAGAATTGACAGAATTTAGCAAATGATGGTGATACGGGTGATGTAGAGAATGAAGGGATTATAACCAGAGATCTAAGACTAATATGCTGACTAGTGAAAAAATGATGTTTTGCAATTCTAAATGCAACCAACGCTCCAACTTAGCGTTTCCTTCAGTAGCAAACCTATCTCTCCCCTTCTTTTACACTTCAGATTTTTTGTAAAATAGTTGTCTTCACTCACTATTTCATTTTCCATACACTTTGAAATCTGTTTTCCATCAAGGACACCCCACCAAAATTTTTTAGGTAAAGGTCTTTGAAGATCAATCCGTGGCTTAATACAACAGGCAATTTCGATTCCTTATCTTACTTGACCTCACTGAGCTATTTGAGAATGGTAATTAATCCATGCTTTTGAACTCTCTGGTATCTTGGGTTCTGTGACACCACTATCTCTTTGTTTCTTTTCCCACATATGTGGCTCTTTAAAGAGCAGTGCTTCCTCAACCTGTTTCATAAACCTTGATGCTTCTAACCTTCTATTTTCAGACCTTATATCTCATTACTCTACACTTGCATGCCCATGGTTTTGCTCATTATTCCCACTGTTTTTTAGATGAGAATTTATTGAGCACCTATCTTTCTCAGGCATTCTGTTGATGAATCCCAAATCCACATCACCATCTGTAGCTCAGCCCTTTCTCCTGAGCTCCAGATCCCAGATGCCTGTCTGCCTGCTTGAGTTAATCTCTTGATTGTCTCCCAGGCTCTTCAAAGATAGCATTCTCCACTCTGATCCTTCCATAGTCCTGCTCTTATTCCTCTATCTTTTTTCTTGTGAATGGTGATATCATCCATCCAGTTAACCCAATTAGAATCCTGGGAACCATGCCTGACTCTGCATTTCAGTCAATGATAGTATGGATAGAAACCAAAGGCCAGAGACCAGACGCCTTCCTTTCATGACATAGAATTAAATATCCCCTGCAAAAATGGGAGTACAAGGAAGGAAAATTTTGAGTAGAAAGCATTTAAATTAGAAATAACCATGTTTCCATAGTATTGATTAAGGTATGATAATAGAGATTAAAAATTGAGAC